TTGTGAGTATATTACTCCTAGTGGATACTTTAGAATGTAACTTTCAAAAACTAAATTTTTGTCGTTTGAATATTTATTCAGTATTTCGTGGAGACTACTACCTAACTGTTCTTAATTAAACAAAAGAGCTTAATGTACACCATTGTTACGTAATTACGTTCTAGAAAACTAGATGAGAGAGCCGTGACTATTTGAAGCTAAAATGTGCAGTAGGTCGATGATAAATAATGTCAATAAATGGATTTTGTATATATCTGAGAAAATATAAGGTATATTTTATTATTATTATTATTACTACTAGTATTATTCATAAGTCTTTATACTCTATGATTGTATCTTTTTTCCCAATCAAGGTAATTACTATTTTTGTTAGTAAACGAAATAATTACGATTATTCACCTCATTTATTTACATAGACGGTAATCTAAGAAGTGGTCTCGGGGAAATCATAATAATCAGTATGGTATTTCACAACTTTGAAACAACTCTTTAATGAGAGGAAATATGTACATGAAACACTCTTTGATTACTTATAATGAACAATGATGTAAACAAATCAGGGTTGTGTGTGCGTGTGTGTGTGTGTGTATAACGTACATTTAAGATAACCTTATCTTGCAAAAATGAGCATTTTAGCAGCGCTGCCATCTGTTGATCGTTACATTAACTATAAAGCTAGTGTAGATAAATCATCATTACACTGTAAAAGTATAAAATGCGCAAAATTTTGATATATACATATATATATATATGTATATATATTTTGGGTGAATTAAATGGAATGTTCAAGAGGTTTTCACTCTTTACTTTTTGTTTTCATCTTTTCCTTCTACATTCACACATTTGTGCTTGTGTGTGTTGGATATACAAGATTGTTCAGTTGAAGAATTATTATTTAATATATTTAGTGATTTAATATTTAATGATTATTTCGTTTTCATAACATGAGTGTTAAAAGTTACATATTTTAAAAGTGATAGTCGCCCGGCATGGCCAGGTTGTTAGGGAGCTCGACTCGCAATCTGCGGGTTCGAATCCCCGTCACACCATACATGCTCGCCCTTTCAGCCGTGGGGGCGTTATAATGTGACGGTCAATCCCACTATTCGTTGGTAAAAGAGTAGCCCAAGAGTTGGTGGTGGGTGGTGATGACTAGCTGCCTTCCCTCTAGTCTAACACTGCTAAATTAGGGACGGCTAGCGCAGATAGCCCTCGTGTAGCTTTGCGCGAAATTCCAAACAAACAAACAAACAAATGTTCCTGATTTTGAATCAAACAGTAATAAGAATTTGCTGAAATATTTATATCTTTGTCTATTTTTGTACTTCAGCCAGAATCTAACATGATCTAATTACAATAGTGTCCTGTTTCTAATTGATCTACTGGTTATGAACACATTAGTGCGATCATAATTTACATTTCTCCGCCAGGCATACTAATTAGGGTCAGTAAGTTTGCCTTTTAATTAATTAACCAGTACTTGAAAAGTTAACTGATAGTAAACTATTTGGTAGAAACGAATTTAAATATGAAATCAGAAAACATTATAAACGATTATATGTACTTTTGTCGATTTTCAAATTTAATGATATTCTCTAATAATTACCGGTATACATGTGTTCTTGTAGTTAGTGTATCGGACTGGTAATCTGAATGTCTCGGGTTCGAGACGTGATGCCATACACGATTCGTACTTTCAGCTGTGGGTGAATTATAAAAGCGACACTAATTCCTGCTGTTTGAACAAGAGTAACACTTTAGGTGGTGGGTGCTACCAACTAGTTCCCTTTGGTTTGTAATTTAAAGTTAACGGCTGCTATAGCTGAACAAAGAGTTTTCTGATCAGCTGTTTAGCCCATTGCATACACAAGTTTGCTTTTAATTACTGATCAGTTCATTTTAATTTACTCTCAGCTCTTATTGTGATAATTTTTATATTTTTACTTTACACTCTGTGTTATACTTGAATAACACAGATCTGTATTTTTTAGTCATATCTGGTTTCTTCTCCTCAGTACCTTTTCCATTTCGTGCTTATCGTGAATCCTCTATTCTTCTGTCATATTGCAAATACTGACTACTTGTTATCTAGTTATCTTGCAGTCAAGAATACCGCATGTTTAACTATACCATATTAGACATAATTATGTCTTACCTCTATGGTTGCCTTTAAGTATACCAAGTTCGTCAGTAAGTCTTGAATTATCAACATTTATTCCTTGGCTGTTGAAATAAACGACTACCTGTAAGAAACGGCAAAACTAATTAAATGTAGAAACCTTGGATTATGTGACTTACATTTTTATCATAAACAAAGAAACGTAACCATTACGAAATGTTCATTCTTGAAATGAAAATTTCACAGACATAGTTGAACTGGGTATGATCTAACAGTTACGCTCCGGGCTGCAGATCAAACGGTAAAAACTTCAGACCAGTGATATGTTGCTAAATAGACTTCGCACTTTCACCTTTGAGTGTATCATAAAAGTGAGGGTCAATCTAGTTATTAGGTACACAGTAGCCCTGTAGGGAGCGTGTGCTGCTTACTGCTTGCCCTTCTTTGACCAGCAATTCAAAATTGGAGACAATTATGGCTAGAACTTGGCGTGGATAACCCGGCCGTTAATTAATTTATTAATGTGTTTCATAAGGTGTAATTTCAACATATTAAACATCACTCGTCAAAAATTAAAAGTTAATAGATATTTGGCTCCTGCAACGTGCTTTCTTCTTCACCAATAAAACTAACTTCCAACTATGAAATGGCCCGGCATGGCCAGGTGGTTAGGTCACGCGACTCGCAATCTGTGGGTCGCGGGTTCGAATCCCCTTCCCACCAAACATGCTCGCCCTTTCAGCCGTGGGGGCGTT